GTGCGGAGCGAGGAACTAAGGAGACGAGGAGTACATCAATCGAGAGATTTTAATGATTTCAAGGGAACACGGAAAACACACGTAGCACTCGGATGAACAATACCGGACAAGGAACTCAAAACAGGAAACACTTTAAATACACAACTTAATCAGGGGAAGACGAGACACACCTGGAATCAAATGAGAAACAATCAGGGAGCAGGAACAGGAAGAAAACCGAATAAGGGCAAGGAAGGCACATGGGGAGCAAAACACACACAAGACAAGAAACAAAGTCTGACATAACTCCCACCGCCCGGAAGGCGCATCCCGCGCCGTACAACATCCAACGGGGAGGGGGTTGGGTGCTCTGGAGGCCTCTAGGAGCAGGGTTCCAGGACGGAAGGCCTCCAGGGCGTTCCAGGACCCATGGCGGATCTGGCAGTTCGGGGCGCCATGGCGGAGCAGGCAGACTAGGAGGCCACGGCGGAGCAGACAGTTCAGGAGGCCATGGCAGAGCAGACAGTTCAGGAGGTAATGGCGGAGTAGGGAACTACCTGTCCACTGTAACTACTTTATGAACTACATTTTCACATTTTTTTGAAGAAAATGTGAGTAGTGTTTAACCATGCAACTCGGCTACAATGTTTATGAGATACGGGTGATTGCTAGGATTTTGAAGCGATTACTATGATATTTCTGGGTGGTTGCTAGGGAGTTCTGCTTGATATCTTACTGGCCACAGTAACCCAAACCGCTGATATTCAGATTCCTACTGTAGGTTTTCCTGTAACGTGTGTAAGTGAGGACCTTTACTTCAAAATAAATTTGATCCACAAAATTAATTTCCACATCCACAGAGCTCTCTCAAGGGTTCTCAATACAAGCCACACTCATTCTGTGTTTAGCTCTGCCCTGAAGGAGTTATTGGTCTGTTGGTTGTTGCTGTGCTCCATGAATGGATATGTAGTAGGGAGAGAGGCCTGGGCGATTGAATTTGTCGGTGGTAAATATCGTGAGATTGGATTTATGCATAGCGGGTCATCGGAGGGAGAGAGAGAGAGAGACAATGAGAGAGAGAAGATAATGGGGATTTCAGGCAGATAAACGGACTGGTGGAGAAGAAGATGGAGCAGAAAGGTGAGGGGCGTCAGGAGTGTTGGGACAGGGAAAAGAAGAACAGGCAATTTGAGGAGCTTGCCGGCATTTGCGTTTAAATTGGGGACATATTGAGTCCAAACAAACAGCGGAGGGGGATCATGCAGTCACAAACAATTTAAATAGGATTCTGCCATTACAGAAGTATGAGGTTATTTTGCTGTGAACTTCTGGATTTTGCACAATCGCATATCAGTGATTGAATATGCAATAATGCTTCTCACAGCAGCAGAGAAGCCCACTGTTTTTTGTTGAGAGAACAGGAATAGTCATTACATCCACAGATGCAGTCTTTTTCAAGGACTATGTGTTGTTGTAATGGCTGTTTTAATAAAAAAATAACTGTAAACACAAGAAAAGATACATATCACCATATGTTTATAGCTCATGACTGATACAGCATTATCCTTCAGTACAAATATATTTTGTTCACTTGTCTCTTTCAGTTTTTTTAGTTATATCTTTTGTGTTTTCTTAGTTCTTGATTTTTTGCTTTATTTTTTCATCTATTTGTGCACTACATTCCTTCCGTGATTTTTTCTAATATTTGTTCATATGTCATTTACAATTTTGTTTGTTTTTGCATTAGTTCTTTTTTCCTTTCATTTGTTTGTTCTTTCTGATATTTGTTTATTCTTTGTTTGTTTTTGCATTAGTTCTTATTTTCCTTTCATTTGTTTGTTCTTTCTAATATTAGTTTGCTCTTTTGTTTGCTTTTGCATTAGTTCTTATTTAGGTTCATTTGTTTGGTCTTTCTGATATTTATACTTTTGTACATTCCTTTGTTTGTTTTTGCATTAGTTCTTATTTTTGATTCATTTGTTTTTTTCTTTCTGATATTTATACATTTGTTCGTTCTTTTGTGTGTTTTAGCATTCGTTTTTATTTTCCTTTCATTTGTTTGATCTTTCTGATATTTATACTTTTGTTTGTTCTTTTTTTTTTGCATTAGTTTAATTTTCCTTTCATTTGTTTGTTCTTTCTAATAGTTTATATTCATTCTTTAATTTGTTTGCTTTTGCATTAGTTCTTATTTTCCTATCAGTTGCTTGGTTTTCCTAATTTTAAAAAATGTTAATTCTTTCTTTTGTTTCCTTCTGCACTTGTTCTTATTTTCCTTTCATTTGTTTGTTCTTTCTAATGTTTGTTTATCCAGATCAAAATTTTGGTTTAGAAAAAAACCCCCAACCTATTGTTCATGAGTCAAGATTAGATATTTTGTGGACAGGAGCCCCAAGCATGGCCGAAGCTTTCACTACAACACACGTCATCCCAGAGAAACTGAACTGGCAGTGGCAGCTGCGGTAATGTGAATGCTGTAGCCTATACACTCAACGCAGAGAGTTTTATTTTGCCTTGTCAAGCTTTTGAAGTATTGATTAATGTAATTGTTAGTGTTTTTAAATAAAAGTTTTCTAAACAACATCAACTTTTTTTGTTCGCTCTTCTTTGTATATTCATTAGATTTTTTCTTCTTTCTTTTGTTTGTTTATAAGAGAGCTATTCGGCTCAGGACCTGGGGAGCTGCTGCCCTGCAGAGTTTAGTTCTGACTCTAATCCAACACACTTGCCTGTAATTTTGTAATGTTCCTAAAGACCTCCATATGACCATCTTCAGATGTGGAGCTGAACTCTGCCAGACAGTGGCGTGGACAGTGGAGTTAAAGAACTCCAAGTTTACTATTTCTTATTGTTTATTTGTTCTTTCTTTTCCTTTCTTTAATTTGTTCATTTAGATTTTCATTTTATATTTCAACCTGCTTATGTGAAACAAACACATACAGATACAAACACGAACACACTGACACATCAATGCATACAAATACACACAGCGGTTCTTGTGTATGTGTGGGATCAGGATCAATTTGTTATGAATCCCTTTATCACGCACTCGCAAAAGAACGTGTTGTGCAAGCTAACAAGTTATATAAGATCTAAACCCATAGAACTCACAAAACCGACTATAAGGGTCTAAACTGAGCCACAGTTTTCCTCTAAAGCCTATTTCCTTTCTAAATGCCTTTCCTAATCATTGAGATGTACGGCTCTATGATTTGAGTGTGACTTGATTGTGGGTGTTGGACCTTGCTGTAAAGACGGGTAAGATTGCCAATTGGCAGTGTGTGCTGTACTTAGACTGGTGCTGGTTGGACCCTTAAGGGGATATTGAACACAAGCTGCAGAGCAAACTAAACAGCTTATTAATGAGCTCAGGCAGACAAAAGACAGAAAGAGAGAGAAGACGGAAAAAGGCACAGCCTGTAGAACTGGAGAAACGACAGGCATTTCTTTTCCCCCATTAGTGTCCTGTTTGCTTTTTTTAAACAAACTCACTCTTTGCCATAAATCTAATTTTGGAGCTGAATGAGACACCTGGAGGAGCAGAACATCTCCATGCAGCTCAATCTGAGGCACTAATAATCTCCAAGTTGATCAAAGTGGCCACACTGAGTACTGACTCAAGTAGCAGGAACCGAAAAAAGATGCATTCATAAGACATTTAATGAGCAGTTCAGCTGAGTAGCATTCAAAATAAATGTCCAAACAAACTTACTATACTTGTGCTGATCTATTCTGCACAGTGCCTCGCTGAACCATGAGTAATGGAGTTTCCATTCAGCAGTTTGTGCTGTGAATCATGAGCTGTTACACCTGCACTCTCACAGCAGAATGATACACGCAAGCTGTATTATTACTAATCACAACTGTAATATTAAAGAGAACTGTGTTTTATACAAACGAGTGAATGTGTGGACAAGCTGTCTAGGTGACTTCTAGTCTCAGCCACAGGCATTATGCCTGTAGGTCGCCCACAGTCCATTCACTGACTGTCTGATTCATACTGCTCACAGAACAAGTAAGGACTCAATGTGGCAAGCTCTAATCTGATTGGTTGACGTTACGTTAGAGTACACTGGGTACAGGCTTCTTATCAGTCCACCTGGAAAAAAGTTGTAGGTACTGTGTTGATAAAATGAGCACTTTTGGGAAGTAAATACATCTTATTTATTCTGAGGATTAAATAATCACTGGATTAGTTACTTCATGCATTTAGACTGACAGGATTGCTGACTCATTATGCACATTGAATTTACACTTATTTCCATATAAGCATGTCTCCTCAGAACAGATATTTATTGGATCTACCCTTCCTGTGCTAAATGCAAATGCTAATATTATACCAGGCAATGTTATTTTCTGTTGAACACTCTCTTCACTCTACATGGCAATTAGTGTTCCCAGAAATTAACAAACATCTGTATGCGGGCATAGTTCCATTATAGAAAAGGAACGTTTTTTAGCTACAGTATATGATCTATAATAAACTATACATTAAACAAAACAAAACAAAGCACAAAACTAAACAAAAAACAAAACAAAAAGCAAAGAACAAACAAAACAAAAGGAAAAACAAAACAAAGCAAAAGCAAATCAAAACGCAAAGAAAATCACAGCAAAGAAAAGCAAAAAACAAACAAACAAGCAAACAAACAAACAAACAAACAAAAACAAGTCAAAGCAAAATAAAGCAAAACATAAAGACAAAAAAGCAAAGCAAAAAAAAATTCAAATCACAGCAAAACAAAGCAAAAACTAAAAAACAAAGCAACACAAAAACCACAAAAGGGAAATCAAAGCAAATCAAAGCAAAACAAAACAAAATAAAACCAAAACTAAATGCAAAACAGCAAAAAGCAAAACAAAAGTGCTCGTAGAGTGTGAATGAAGTTAAAAAAGTGGTTGGTGACATTACACATTGGTCAAAATGGTCTCTTCCTGCTCAGGATACGCTGCAGACCTTTTGTCACTTAGCATACAAATCTGGCTATGTGAGACTATAGGTGACTTTAAGCAGAACTGACCATGGTATGTGCGATTCCACATCCTCTTATTGATAACGTCCCCTGGGGGCCTCGCACCCGACCGATCCAGAGTCTCATTTAGGGCATGAGAATACAGCATGACTCCATCGTGGAATGAGCCAGAAATCAGATTCACCTGGAAGAGAGGAAGTGCACAAATTACATAATAGAATTAAATCTCTAAATAACTGGGGTTTAAACTCCATTACTTTTATTAGATTACCAGCTCTCTAGAGACCATAGTGAAAGTATTTTTGAAGAAAACTTGACAGAATCGCAAGACTGTAATTCCATGACCCACACGAGACTGTGTGCTGAGAAAAATGGCTACGTTCCTAATGCTGCTCTGCTTCACTGTTTAATATCACACATTCCTCCTAAATATGTTGAAATACATCCTGTTTCTCTTGCTCCATGTGTTCATTTTAACACACGGAGTATTTGTTTGGTAATCAAAATAAATGATAATATGGTGATAAGGAGTTAGTCAGTGAGAACTATTTTAAACTTGTTAGTTTTTTATATGAGGAGGAGCATCATATTTACATAAATGGTAATGAATTACTACTCGGAACGAAACTCACCCCCCAAAGAACACATCTGAATTTAGTCAGATTTATTAAATAAAAGATGATTTGTCGCTGTGTGTTTACTTTGATGAAGCCGGAAAGATGTCTTTTTGTCACAACGACTGAGTTCAATCCATAATTTTGTCAGTTCACAAAAACTATATATTGCAAATATATAAATATGCGCTTTCAGCATGTTTTATACATTGTTTTTTTGTTAAGCTCAGCGTGTCTTATGCACATCTGCTATGCAGTACTGCACGGCTCACGCTCACTGTGTGATTGCTGTAACCTGTTAATATAGGCAAAACAAAAAAACTAACAAGCAGTGCTAACATAGGCAGTGTGAAACAGGTGTGATAAAGACCTGAGAGATCGAATTTGGAGTTGCTGAATAAAATGTCAAATTAATATCAATGTATTTCCATTTAATTTCTTTCTCTTTACTTGAGTTAGTAAACAACATAATCACAGAAATAAATTAAATTTTAAAATATAGTAAAAAAGAAAACGGTTTAGTTAAAATTGTAATAATATTTCACAATATTACAGTTTTTACTGTATTTTTGATCAAATAAATGTAGCCTAAGAGCATAAGAGACATTTTTTTTTCTAAAACATTAAGAAAATCTTACCAACTCCAAACTTTTGAAAAGTAGTGTATATATATATGCATGCAGTTATAAAAAAAACCAAAAAACAGAATATTTAATTCTCAAACTGTAGCAAAACATGAAGCAAATCTGTTTTTTACTGCTGTCTTCCAGTTGTCTTCTTATAAACATTAGTTAGGTGATAATTATCTTGAGTGTCAATCATAAACAAATAACAAAATATTAAGACAAATGACTTCCCTTTTTTTTTTAAGCAATCCAGGTTTGATTGATTCATTATTTATTGATAAAGAGGTGTGTGTGGTCCTTTTATTCCCTACATTATGTCCCCAAATGTCCCCACAAAGATAGAATATAAAACAGCTTATAAATCGTAACACTTTAGGGACATTTGGGACTAATATTAGGGACTAATAGTTGCTTATTAGCATGCCTATTATTAACTTGTTGGCTGTTTGTTAGAGCGTATAAAGCACATTTTCTGTATGACCATATTCTACGTCACTAACCCTGACAAAACCTTCCAAAACCTCCTTTGGGGGTGTCCTCTTTGTAAAAAAACAAACGGATTGTTTTTAAACAATCTTAAAAATGCAGGAAGTTTTCTGTTAGTGTTGTTATGTATAGCTGTATATAAAAACACTAGAAGTAATTTCATGTCACATTGCCATCAGGTGCTGAAATTAGCAAAATTATGGTTTTATACCACATAATATTTTTTGGTACAGCTATGTTTTTAGTACTGGTAAACTACACAAGACTAGATTCAAACCTTGCATCCCTGTGAGCCCAACCTCTGTTACATATCAACAACATGTGCACCAACTTCCCATAACCCTGAAAAGACAAACACACACCCGAGAAAGAGAGCGGCACAACCAAAGACACTAAATTACACTATGGCATGCTTTATTACCCCTACATGACATTCAGCCATGATTACAACCACCCCACATGTGTGAGAATCTTGTGAGAGAGCTCAAATGTTTCTGTACTGCTGTTTCCCAGCAGTCTTTGGGGACGTGGGTTTCACTGAGTAAACATGTACATATTTCAGCTGCTGTGATGTTGGTATGTGAACATATGCATGAGAGACGGTTCAGAAAGCTCAGACTGATGTGTGATTATTCAAACTGTGGGCCTGCTAGTCTGTCATTTATCACCACTCTATTTGTTTGAATAAGAACATGATACAATAAATAACTGCTGCAATCTGAACTTTCTGCCCTGAACAGCAGTGATTTTTTATTTAATGCAACTTATTTAATATTACAATATGTATTAATTAATTAATTAATACATACATACATACATGTTGAATGTTGTTGCTTCATTAAAAGCTTATTGTATTACTGTATTAAAAGCAGTGTATTATGTGTAAAAGAGTATTATGAGAGAGATATTGATTGAGCGAGTGTGATTACCTGCATCTAATACAGCATTCATTCTTCATCTCAATCTCATATTCACAATGAAACATTAGTCCTTTCTGCTTAGTACATTTGTTGGCTGTCTTACAAGCAGTTGTTGAAATTAAAAATAACTTCCTTGTTCACAACCCTGTTTCAGTCTCTTTCGATACAAATGATTAAAAACAGTATTATTTTTTAAATTATATTTTTGTAATTAAAATTAATTATATATTTTTTGGATTTGAGCATCCGCCATGACACTTGCTGTAAGAAATACTGCAAACGGTGAAATGGTTGGAGTTCTGTTATCTCTAGAATATCACACTCTTCTCAGCCAATCAGATTTGAGGACCAGAAACAACTTTACTTTTACTTTAAATTTTATTACTTTCAGTTAGGCAACATTTCAAGTTTTTCATCAAATACTACTTAATTTTACTTCATTTCAGCTTGATTTCAATTGCTAAAAATGATTTGAATAGTTTTAGTTTAACCACCTGGGAGCACTTGCATTTTTTCATTTTTGATCATACACATAAGAGTAATATGTCATTTGAATCTGTAAAGGGTCTATTTGTAAAATAATGAAAATAAACAGGGTGCGCTTTCATCCTTCTTGGTCTCCGCGAATATCTTTTTGAAATGAGTCACTAAAATGAACTGAAACTCAGTTTCATACTCAGTTTCAGTTTCAAGAATACTTGACACACAGACATGAGATATATATTTGGAGAAAGCTTGACGTGTCTACTTTTAAATGAAGTAAGTCATATCGAACACAAATATTCTATGATAAAGCATGAAACCAACCTGAAGTCCAGTCTTTCCCATCTGAGCTCATTATCTTTAATGTGATCATGCACACGAACAGCGTAACTCTTCATATTATAATTGGCCACGTAAGATGTGCAAACATGTAAATACCCACATCACCTCTGTAAACAAACGTGAAGATCATCTCGGCTATTTTTTGTTTCTGGAAGAAAACGTGCGGAGAGGAATAAGCCAGAATTTACCTCAGAAGAAGAACACGATGCGACGTGCGGCTTGATCCAGCGGAGGAGATCAGTTACATGAGTACGTGTTTTATTACTTGCATCTGTTGTTATTGTGTTATTGTAACATAACTTGTACACATTTTACTAGTTAGACTTTTTCCAAACTACAATTCCTGAATAAATGTATAATCAAGTGAAACATTCTGATGTATTTTTCATTCATTGCATCTAAATGTCTCACGATGCCAGAATGTTTTTTTAATGTTCTAAAAAAATATTAAACCGTAGACATAAAAGTAATATGAGTTTTTACACTGTAACACTATGCATGTTAGAGTCTAAAAATTTTTAGACCAATCTTTACTGAGAAATTCGCAAATATCTGTTTAAACATAGATGTTTATAACATGTTTAACAATAATTATTTAGTTTTATCATATATAAAATGTTTTTGTTTTGTATAATACATACAAAGCAGGCTTGTGTTTATCACTACAAAATCATATTTATTTAGGAGTTAAGAGTGGCCAATATTAGTGATTGCTAATGTAATAATTTAATTACTCCTATGCCAACATGCTAACAGATGTTTTTTTGGTACCTTGAAGACTTCACTTCACAACTGTTTTTCTGTACAGTTAAAGTGCTGTACCAACATCAGAAGTATAAACAGCATCAGAAGTATGACTACTGATGATGGGGCTGTTTTCTTTCCTCTTGAAACCATGGAAAGAAGCAAAGTACATCTTTGCAGCACAATGGTGCCGCCGTGCAAGGCGAGAGTGTTCACGAAGCATGTTCACATGCGATTTACTACTATATAGTAATATAGTAATAATTTAGCACTTTCTCCTGTTTTATTGTTGGTTTCCTCTTTTCTGATAATTTGGAATGAGGATAAACGATAAAAAAAACAACAACATGCAAATAAGTTCAAACATCAATTCAATATCTACTATTTCCTGAATATTATGAAATTCAAGATGGCCGCCTCTGATGACGTCATAATATGATCATTTTAAGAGCAAGTGAGCGCACCGGCGCCTCCATCTGTCCTGCAGTGAGCGCGCTGCTGTTCAGTTTCCACACTCTGCTCAGACGCTTCAATAGCGCATGTTTTTCTAGATTAACATTAGATTGAGCGGCCATGTAAAGTTGCTAATACTTACAGGTGCATCTCAATAAATTAGAATGTCGTGGAAAAGTTAATTTATTTCAGTAATTCAACTCAAATTGTGAAACTCGTGTATTAAATAAATTCAGTGCACACAGACTGAAGTAATATTGAGTACATGTACAGTAAATTAACATACTTTCCAGAAGGCCAACATTTTTTTTTATTGGTCTTATGAAGTATTCTAATTTGTTGAGATAGTGAATTGGTGGGTTTTTGTTAAATGTGAGCCAAAATCATCACAATTAAAAGAACCAAAGACTTAAACTACTTCAGTCTGTGTGCATTGAATTTATTTAATACACGAGTTTCACAATTTGAGTTGAATTACTGAAATAAATGAACTTTTCCACCACATTCTAATTTATT